GGGGGGGGCGCCCCCCCCCGCCGTACTGCAGCGGGATGTCGAGAGACGGCAGCACCCGGGGAAAAGAGCGGGGAGGCAGGTACAGGGATGCTCGGCACCTGGGCTGAAGGACACTGAGGGCTTTGGCCGTGCCGCAGGAGGGATCTGGAGTGTTGTTTTGGCAGGGCTGTCTGGCAGGAGGAGAGCAGACAGGGGGAAAGGACAGAGGTCTCCTGGCAGGAGGGAGCCAGGAGGGACATACTGTATCCAGCAGCAGAGCTGGGGTGGCCAAAAAGAAGTCGTGCCAGTCCTGAAGGATTCCCCATCCCAAAAAAAAGGGTTGCACGGAAGCATCCTTCCAAAAGAGAGCTGCCGAGTGACGTCTCTAACAGAAACAGGCTTCCCTGCACACACTCCCCACAAGCATCCAGACACCAGCCAGGAGCGCCCCCAGCCAAGGATGCCCCGGGGAATGCCCCAGGCACCAGCTCTGCAGCCCTGATCGCCCACAGGCACCCGTGAAGGCAGGTGGGAAGAGGAGGAGGAGGACGGTGAGCGGCAGGACTTCAGGCAGCCCTTGGGGCAGGCAAAATGGGCAATGGCAGCAGCCTGGTCGGGGCTCGGCTCAGCCCCTCCAGGCGAATCGCCTTCTGCTCTCTCTCTCTCGTTCGGCAGTGTTTCCCCCAATGTGCTATTTTGGGCCTGGGAGCTGCTTTTCAACTCCAGCAGGAAACAATTAAGAAATATGTGCTTTTTTTAGTACAGTAGAAATGCTGGTAACGACACGCTGGGGCTGGAGCAGGAGGGAGGGAGGGAGCCAGCTCCCCTCGTGCCCACAGCAGGGATGCGTGATGCTCCCGGGAGAGGCTTTTCCAACAGAGCGGGCTCTTCAGGTGCCAGCCCAAAAACTGGCACAGGGCTTCCGAGGTGGGATTTTTAATGTGAACCCCTGGAACGGGGCCATGCAAAGCCCCATCCCTCCTCCAGCGCACTGGCACCGGTGCCCTTCCTCCTGCCCCGGGTGCGAGGGGAAGCTGCGGAGTTTGCCCTGGGGTGGGAATGCGGCCCCCATCTCCCAGCCCTTGGGAAACCACCCACCTCTGGGGGCATCCCTCTGCTGCCACCAAATCTTCCCTCACCCCGGGGCAGAGTGTTCCCAGCGCAGGGAAACGCCACGGCCCCAAGCCCAGCGTCGCTGCGGCCGGGCAAGCTGGGAATGAGCAGGTACCTGCCTCCCCGTGTCTGCAGTTCTGGATCTGAGACAGATAATGCTTCACGGCTGCCACTTCCCAGCTGCTCCAACCTCGCTGGGTGTCGACACTCCGAGTGGCACCGATTAGGGATGCTAATTGCCCATCCCCGCAGCAGGGACCCATGGCCGTGGAAGCCTTGGGGACACACCACTCTCCTGGCTGGGCTGAGCCACCCATCCTGGGGCTGGGGACAGGGGACACGTGCAGGGGCAGGGCCATCCCTCCGCTCTCCCTGATCCAGCCTCTGCAGCTCCCCAGCGTGCAGAGCCCAGCCGAGCTCACAGAAAGTACCTGCGCGGCGGCGGCTGCTGCATTTCCCTCCCCCGGAATCGATTATGGCGTGATGCTGAGCCGATGCAAATCAATTTGCAGCGATATAAACCTCAGCCAGGTTTGACCCCGAGTGCTCAAGGACAAGGGGATTACCTGCAGCGGCCCCATTGCAGCATCCCACCGGAGCAGGGCCGGCTCCCTCGCCATGCCCCTGCCAAGCCGGGGTTGCGGCTGGGCTCAGTTGCCATGCCATGCTCCCCAGGGACCTGCTGTGCCATGCTCCCCAGGGACCGTCGTTCCCGCAGCCGCTATGGGGATGGCTATAAATAGCACACGTAGCAGCTTGTTAGAGGATGCAGTGTGCCCCGGGGATCCTTGGGGATGAAAGGCGCTAAATAAAGGCAGGGTATTAGCATTCGTTATGAACCGCAACGCTGTAAGAGGCATCGCCAAGCTGGGAGCCCCGGCTACGCACCGCAGACACCCTCCCGTATGTACAACACCGCACAGCAGCTCGTGCTGGCAGCATCTTTGTTTCCACTGCTCTTAGGAAAGCACGGGGAAATGCCAAGCGCAGGGCTCGCACCGCAGGCAGGAGCAGGCAGCAGGTGCAGGCAGCAGGGGCAGTCACCCCAGAGCAGCACAGGAGCTGCCCCGCATGGCCAAGCCGCAGCCACGGGCCCTTGCTGCCCCTTCGCAGTGCTGGTCGGTCCATCCTCGCTCCCATCGCAGCTGGGAAGAGGGTTTCAGCCACACATCTCACCCAGCACAGAGGAGCAGAGACTGCCCAGTGGGGCTGCACTGCCAGCAGCCCCCAGCTCCCTCCTCCCAGCTACCGGTACCCAAAAACCCCCAACCCTCCCCCCCACCTTTCCATCAATCCCCAGTGGCACAGGCGAGGACTGACAGCTCTGTCACCACCCGCCCTTCGCGTGCCCCCTCTCTTCCCACCACCCAGCTGCCACTGCAGCAAGAAACAGCTCTGGTTAATCAATGCTCAAGCCCGTTAATTTGTTTTTGCCAGGCAGCAAGGAGAGGAGGGACCCAGGACTGCAAACCCTCATCCATCACCCTGCCCACGAGGGAGCTCGTTGCTCGCTGGACCGCGGCGGGGACAGGGCAGCAGTAAGGAGCGCAGGAGAGGCGGCCGGATTCGGAACGGTTTGGGGACCCCTGGCCACGGTGGGATGCAGGAGGTGACACGATGCTTCAGCCCCACAGGGCTTTTTTTGTGCTGCCCTCCCATTCTGCAGCCACCCCCTCCCCTGTTTGTGCAAGGGCAGGGGTTTAGCCAGAGCCGCAGGGCCGGATCCTGAGCGGGAGCGTGCACGCTCAGCCTTGCTCCCATGTGCCACGGCCGTGGCACATGGCTGTCCTCGTCTGGGCTCGGGCTCCCAAAGGCTCGGCAAGCACCGTCCCCATGCAGCAGCCAGCGGGGAGTCTCCGCCAAGCCCCGGCATGTCCCGCCTCGCTCCAGCCGCTATGACAGCACCTTGATCCCACAAGGCCACGGGCACCGCCGCCTTATCAGGGAAACCAGGGTTAATTATTTCCAGGCACAGAGTGGTTCCCCCGTCGCTGCAGGGCACTCCCGCTCTGCCAGGCCGTGGGCTCCACCGCCAACCCACAGGCAACTGGTCCGGCATCACCTGCCGAAGAGTGGCGGCAGCGGTCCTGTGGCATTTATTTCCCCCAGGGACTCGCTGCGGCTCCTTCCCATGGTCCCCGCAGGTCCCCGCGCATCCCGGTCTGGGGGAGCTGGCACATCGCCCCGCGCTGGGGCTCCCGTCCGGGTTTGAGGCTGCCTAAATCTGCTGCAGACGCTCAGCACAGCGCCCAGACAAGGGCAAATTGGGCACCCATGTGTGTGCAGAGTGGGCACTCCTGCGTGAGCAAAGTGGGTGCTCAGGCATGAATTAATGGGGCACTCCTGCATGCACTAACTAGGCACCCGTGCCTGAGCTAGATGGGCACTCATGCAAAAATAAATCAGGTGATCATGCACGGACTAATTGGGCACTCATGCATAAATTATTTGGGTGCTTCTGGGTGAACTAATTGGGTGCTCATGCACGAACTACCTGGGTGCTCCGGTGTGAATGAAAGGGGTGCTCATGCACAAACCAGCTGGGTGCTCATGCATAAATTTTTTGAGCACTCATGAATTTATCAGGCGCTCACGCATGGACTAATTGAGCACTCACACGTAAATTCACTGGGCACTCCTGCGTGAACTAATTGGGCACTCATGTGTAAATTAGTGTAATTAGTAAATAACACACTTGTGCACGTATTAATTGGGGACTCAGGTGTGAGTGGATCAGGTGCTCATGCATAAATTAATTGGACACTCAGGCACGAGCTAACGGGGGGCACATGCACCAATTAATTGGGCACCCGTGCATTAACCAACAGGGTGCTCGTGCATGGACCAGTGTGCGATCCAGCGCAAATTAACCGCGCACCCATGCATAAATCAACTGGGTGCTCATATGTAAATTAATTGTGTGCTCATGTGTGTATTAATTGGGTGCTCATGCGTGAACTTATTGGGTGCTGATGCGGAAACGACTGGGGTGCTCATGCATGAGCTAATCGGTCCCTCATGCGTAAAATACCACGGTGCTCCAGGGTGAACCCCGCACACCCTGCAATTTATGCCCAACACACTCCACCCCTCGCCTCTGCGAAACACATCTTTAAGAATTGTCTGAACATGAATCTGTTACAAACACCACTTTCAACATCATCACAACGTTACCATTCACCCATTACAAGCTCCCCCCTCCCTCCCCACCGAGCGGGTGACAGGGCTCGCATGTGCATGCGAGTGCATGCACTCGCTCTGGTTTCCCTCCTTGCCCCTGGGACCCAGATTTGGGGGTCAGCATCACAGCCCCAACAAACACCCACCGCAGAATTAGCCCTTGGTCCCCACAGAGCAACCACAGGGCTCCGTACAGCAGTCAGAACGGATACTCGGTGCAGACTTCACACCTTGCTCCTGCAAACACGGACCCAAGGAGGTCCCATCAGTCGCCACAGACGGACCCATCCCCAGCGCCAGCCCCTGGCCCTGCAGAGTGGGTTATCCGACATAACCTGAGCAGTCATTACCAATTTCAGGCCTCATCCCTACAAAACACGTAGCCATGAGCACAGCAGCAGCTCAAGCTGTTGGAGGTATTGATGAGTGCAGTAGCTGTGGGGCTTCATCCAGCCCCTAAATGGGTGCTGGGCAGCATCC